GGGATATTTTCCAGATATCTTTGTATTACTGAATTCTATTTTAATTCCACTGTAGTCAGAAAACATACTTTGTATTGAGACTTGATTTATGGCCCAGACTATGGTCTATCTTGATAATGTTCCGTGTGTACTTTAAAAGGTTGTGTTCTGCTGCTGTTTGGGTGGAGTGTTCTGTAAATGTCATTTAGGTGTAGTTGATTGTTATCTGAGTTTTAGTATCTTTCCTCATTTTTCAAGTTTGTAAATTTTTCAGTCGTCATTTCTTCAAATCTTTTCCCCATCTCCCTTATTCATTCACCTTTCCCTTTGTTCTTGTGACTCTGCACAGTGTGTGTGTGTGTTGGTCTTGACTTTTCTGTTTCATTTTGGTAGTTTCTATCATTGTGTGTTCAAGTTTACTCAACTTTCAATCTGCAATGTCTCCTCTGCTGCTAATCCCATCCAATGTATTTTTCATCTCAGACATTGTATTTTTCATCACTAAGGTGAGTTGGGCATCAGGCATTTTGAATTTTATGTTGCTAGATACTGGATGAGAAATATATGTATACACACAACCATACATAAAAACACATATATAAGTAATGTTATACTATATTATAAATACATATGTAAATATTCTTGAGCTTTGTACTGGGACACAACTGAGTTAACTTAGAAACATTTTGATCCTTTCCAGGCTTGCTTTTGAAGTTTGTTAGGCAAAACCATCTCAGCCTTTAGTTTAAGGCTAATCAGTTTGACCTTACAACAGGCACAATAACCTTCCAAGTTCCCCTCCAGGTGCTCAGCTCTTACTAGGTAGCTCCACTCTGGCTACTGAGAATGGGAACTAGTCCCAGCCCTGAAAAAGCTCCAGTAATTGGTTCACCTGCTCCTTACCAGTGGTTCTGTACTGACCTGAGGTAGCTTTGTGAGCATTTGCTCTTCATACTCAGTTGAAGACTTGAGGAGAGCCGTCTACAGATCAGCAGAGCTCTTCCCTCTCCAATTCTCCACCCTGCATATCCTAGTTGTCTTGGCCTCCTCGAATTCTCAGTTGTTTCCTCAACTCAAGGGGGCTGCAGAGCTTTCCGGGTTCCCCTCCCTGTGGTGTAGCCTGAAAACCTACTTGAGGCAGGAAGCTGGGGCAGTTGTAGTTCTCTTTTCTCAGAGATCTCTGTCTCATGTGCCTCTTTTCCAATGTCTGGAAACTTTTTTCAAACATTTTGTCTGCCTTTTAGTTATTTAAAACAAGTGAGGAAAAACCAGTCCCTACTGCAGTTTTGTCCAGAAATGGAAATAACTTATTGGGCTTTGAATGTCTTACAAATTTTCTACTCAGTAATCAGTAAGCATATATTGAGGTAGGCCCTATCCCTCTGCCTGAGAGGGAACGGTGATTCCTGAGTATTCATAGGGAATTGGTTTCAGGACTGCTACCGATACCAAAATCCATGGACGCTCAAGTCCCTGATATAGTGTTTAATATAACCTAGGCACATCCTCCTGTATACTTTAAATCATCTCTAGCTTACTTACCTAATACAATGCAAATGCCATTCAAATGGTTGCTATACTATATAGCTTTAAAACTTGTATTACTTTGTCTGGGCGCGGTGGCTCATCCTGTAATCCCAGCACTCCTAGGAGGCTGAGGGGGGCAGTTAACTTGAAGTCAGGAGTTCAAGACCAGCCTGGCCAACATAGTGAAACCCCATCTCTACTAAAAATACAAAATTAGCCAGGCACACGTCTGTAGTCCCAGCTACTTGGGAGGCTGAGGCAGGAGAATCGCTTGAACCCAGGAGGCAGAGGTTGCAGTGAGCCAAGATTGTGCCACTGCACTCCAGCCTGGACAAAAAGAGTGAAACTGTCTCCAAAAACAAAAGAACCCTATTATTTCTTATTGTTTATTGTTATTTTTTATTTTCAGATACTTTTCATCTGATGTTAGTTGAATCTGCAGATGCAGAATCTGCAGATACAGAGGGTGACTGTGTATCCTCCCCACCTAGCTCTGCTGAAGAAGTCAGGAAATCCTGCCTTCTCAGTGAACAATCATTTTTATTTGTTTTTGTTTTGTTTTGTTTTGTTTTTCACTCAGGTGACCAGGGCAGAAAATCCTACTCCCATGATTTTCGTAAGCATCTCCAAAGTAACTGCAACATCTTTAAAGATAACAAATCTCACTAAAAAATGAAAGATATAATACTTGAAGTATAAATACTTGGAATTACCCCCAAAACATCTTAGGTTGGGAATCAACAGTTTAGGATTCCCTTTACTGTGATTTCAGAGGGGAGAACTCTTAGCTTCACAGCAGGTCAGATTCCCCCAAAGCCACCCAGGGGTTGGCCTAGTTAACATGCAGTCTCTCCTGCCAGCTGTGACCTGCTTCCTTTCAAGAGATCACTGAGTAAAGGAAATGCGTTAGCTGATTGAGGGGCATCTGAATTGTGCTCCTCCACCCCTTTGTATTAGAGAATAGAAAAACACTTGGGCACTGTGGAGAGCCACATGCTGACATATCTCCAGGGTGCTGGCCTTTCAGGTGCGCACCATTCTCTAGTGACACCGGGAAGGGGGACCCTGTAGTAAAATGATGTATAGCTTCACAACTGGCTCTCAGCTTTGCCTACATTGTAGATTTTGCCATGTAATTCTGTGTGAAGAGCTGATAGGATATTCCTGCGCTAAGGAAAGCAACAGAATAATCTGAATCCTTGTCGTGATGATGAATCCTTGGTCATGATGATGAATGTGTTAGGGAAAAATGAAGGAAATCAGATCCAGGTGGCTCCATATCATTTCCAAAAATTACCTCTGCACAATTTGGATCCCATGTTTTTTAGAGAATGGGGAAATACAACCAGTACCCTGAAGCCATGTGAAGAACGTATCAGGAGTTTCAGTGTGACTGAGAAGGGCAGGCTCTCATCTGGATTAAAAAAAAAAAAGGATAAAGCTTATTTATAAGCATATGGAAAAAAGCAAGAAATCTTTTAACACTAAAATCTGATCTAACCTGTTGCAAAGGGCACTTTACATATCAACTTGAACCTCTGGCTTTTGTTGAAGAGTCTGGTGGTTGTCCTAGTTGTCTGAGGAAGGCTTTGGAGTGCTGTCACATGTAGGTGTTCTGGCTTTGCTACCTGGAACTTTCCCAAGCCTTTTAAACCTGTCAACCAGTATTCTTCCAGCCATAAATGGTGGCTGGCATCACCTGCCCGTCATGATCACACTGACAATGGTACTGGTATTTATATATTGTAATATCTTTTCAACAGTGCTTTGCAGTCAGTGGAGTCTTTCCATACCTCAATTTTTCACCAAACATTGAAGTGTTACACTTCTCTCACAAATAAAGAAATGGGGAAGTTAGAAAATCAAGAAAGGTTAAGTGAGTTGGCCAGTGTCCCAAGGGCAGGGACCTAGGCAAAAACAAAAGGCTTCTAATTCCAAATCCAGTATTCTCTGCTAAAATGTGCCACCTCCCTCCCTTTAGGGTTGGTGGAGGATACTGGGACTAGTGCTACGGCTCATGCTTTATGATTCTTTGTTCTGCTTTACTCAGCACCTGCTGTACCATGTTGTGTTTGTAAGTGGCTTCGTGTTAACTTTTCTCCAAAAGGCAGCAGGGTCTGGAACCGGAGACTGGCCCAGTCTGGCATCTGGAGAGGATAGTGGTTGTGGTGTTCTCACAGCTCCTCCATTACCACCTGGTATCATTTAGTATTTACTTCGCAAACTGAAACATAAATCAACTCATTTAATGTAGAGAAGGGCAAAAGTTGCTAAGAAATGTTTTGGGGGTTGGTCCTCAGAGCTTCAACTCTGGGAGGGTGCCCGACTTGACAGTATCACCTTAGTCACTAAGGAAAAACAGGTCCAGGGCTTCAGACCTTCAAAACAATTATTACTTGCTGAGATGGCAAAAACAATTGTAGAATGCTTCAATGGTTGAGCTTTAAATAGTTGGTTGAACTACAGATTAAATACTAATGGTTTTTTTTCTTTGAGACAGGGCCTTATTCTGTTGCCCAGGCTGGAGTTGCAGTGGCACAGTCATAGCTCACTGCAGCCACAACCTTGTAGGCTCAAGCAGTCCTCCCACCTCCTCAGCCTCCTAAGTAGCTGGGACTACAGGCACGCACCACGTGCCACGACACCCAGCTAATTTTTGTATTTTTTGTAAAGCCAGGGTCTCATTATGTTGCCCAGGCTGGTCTTGAACTTCTGGGCTCAAGTGACCCTCTGCCTTGGCCTCCCAAAGCGCTGAGATTACAGATGTGAGACACTGTGCCCAGCCAGTAATGATTTTTCGTATGACCAAACCATTGAAGAAAATTTACACTTATTTTTGGTAAATGAAATACCAAAAAAAAATTTATCAGATGGCCTGGTATCTCCTGCACTGATTTCTAACCCACATACCCTTTTTAGATTGAACCAAATTAGAAATGTAAACCAAATGATTAAAAATTAGGTATGATTCATTTTCTGGCTAATTGGCTTTACTTCGTTGCTCCCTCTTCTAAATGCAAAATGAATCCGAGCAGTGCTGAATTTAAGGAAGCATACATAATTAGTATTACAGGGCAGGCAGGAGAGCTGGGCATGTGGTCTCACACCCCACGTATAGTTAGGGTAAGCATGTATGTTTTTCAGCTGCATTTATTTCTTAGTTATTCCTAGAGTGGCAAATGTGGAGGGTCGATGACCACTGTGAAACAGCAGCTTATAAAATTCACCCTTTATTATTAACAGACTAAACTTCCTGTCTTGCATAGATGCTCCTGTGCACACCTCTTTTTACATGGAATGTAAAATATTATAATGATTGATTTTCCTTTGAGACTGTAATACAGGTAATGTTCCTATTCAACTTTAAACCAAGACCTGACACACAGTAGGTATTTTAAAAACTGTTTTTGATGTGACCAAAATTATACAGAAAAAAGAGAAGTACACCAGTATTTTAAGTTTTTGTTTTGTTTTGTTTTTTACTTTTCACAAAGGATTTGCTGTAAGTCTTCAAGTCATTTTGTCCAATCCAAAAGCTGTATTTAAGCGTCGTGGATCCCAGCCAGGGATGCAAGAATCTGACTTTCTCAAACAGATAACAACAGTCGAAGAACTGGAACCGAAAGCAAATAACTGCACTAAGGTATTCATTTCACTTGTGCTGCCTGACCTCAAGTGTCAGCATGAAGAGTGTGCTACCCAAGCTATTTCCTTCCCCTTTAGGTTCTCGTGTGGCACACTCGGACAGAGAAGGTTAATCTAGCCAACGAGCCAAAGTACCGCCTGGACACAGTGAAAATTGAGGTATAAATTGAAGCAGCAACTGGTGCAGTTTGCCCAGCCAGTGGGTCCATGTGGAAGAGGATGTTTGGAGTTTAGGCTGCAGAGCATTCAGGTATTGTTTGTTTTACTTCAGTACAACAGCCTTTCTTGTCATCTGATGGACATCTGTTTAAATGGAGCTTGTCAGTTAACATAAGCTAATTGGATGGTACAAAATGTATGTTTTGTCTTCATTTGTTCTGCATGTTTTCTCTACAACTAAATTGGAAGATTTTTGTACAGTGCCGATACTGCAAGATACCACTCTGAGTATATATTTTTTCTTTTTCTCCAGTTTGCTCTTATAATTGGCAGACCTGAACAGGTTTTTAAAACAGACAAGTATTTTGTCAGCTAAACATTCCTGATTCCTGACTTTGCAACACTAAGTAATTTTTGGAAGGTTTCTGGCAGTATCCATCATAGGAAATAAAAAATCCACAAATGAAAAGGTCTATGGATTCATCTGTTTAATATAGGGAAATAACATTTTGTCAATACTAGGCACCATAAAATGTAAACACAATTACTGTCATAAACCTGGATATACCTTCAAGGATTGAAAGTGGCTTTGTTTTAGTTACCCTGTTTGCATATAGTGCAGAAAAAGGTCTTCATGTTAGCACTATGTACATTGAGAAGAGATCCAAATTACAAGAGAGGCAGATAAAATTTGAATTATTTAAACATTCATTAACTAAGTTTTGGAGTAACATCCAGGTTTATCTTCCTTTCACTAACCACACTCCCTGTTAAGCACATCATAACAACAGCACAGTGAAGTGAATGATGAAATAAAAGAATTTTGATACACTAGAAAACAGTGCTCAGTGAGACATTTACATTCTATTTATATGATTAAACATTTGATCATACAGTACCTTCCTACAGGATTACTGGCTAATTTTGGGGTGGGGCTTATACTGTTAGAGGTATTACTAACATGATAACTACTTCCCTTATATGCAAACATTAGAGCTATAATTTTATTGAGGAAAACTGATTTTGCAAGTTGAGCAGCTTCTCAAATAATGCAGTATATGAAATCATGGGAAACATGAGCAAAGCTGCCCTTGACATAAAATGGTTTATCAACCTGCTTTTCACCACATCAAATGGAATCAGTACAGACCAACACGGTCAATCAGATCATTCTTAATATGAACAAATGGGTAAAAAGAAAAAAAATATATGTATATGAATAAACAGGGGAACTAGATGCCTTTTAGCAAGGAATGTCAGGTGGTAGTTCTGGATGAAACTTGTATTGCAGTTTTCATTTCCACAGTTGTGTGCTGAGAGTCTGACCCGATGAGCTTCCAGACCATCCTGCTGTTGTGCTGGGGGGCTGGCCAAAACCTGCAGTAGGGGTTGCACTACTGATACTCATGCCAGCCATTTGCTGATTCATCTGTGAAACACATAAAAGGCTTAGTTCAAGAGGCTTTACTTCACCTTTAATTCTTGTTTCTTTAGCCACACAGTTGGTCATTTTTTTCATTAATGTGAAAACTAGTCCAAGCACTGGAATAAAAGCAGAGTACCATACAAATATTTCTTAAAGCAAATAGCTACTTTTTTCCCTTCTTTATTTATCTGCTTTCTAGATTCAGTTTCCCTAAAGATTAACAACTTAAAAAAAAAATACCAAAGCAATCTTGGGATTTGTATCATGAGTCTGTTACTCTGACTTTCACCTACACTAGGATATTGTGCTTTAACTACTAAGGAGTAAGAAAATTTTAGAAAGTAAAATAGTCTAAAATTATCCTATAAACTTTGTATGATAGCTATTATTCTCTGTTAAAATCTTAAATGGCTCTATATACTTCCTAAAAGTGGTCATAAAGCATTTCTCTTGCTGATCTAACAACATAAACATCTAAAATTTATTTTCATTGTATGCAATAAAGTATAAGATTATGTATATTTTTCTTCAAGACTGGAGTCAAATATATATATAAGAACCTTAACCCTGTGGTTCTCTTATTTCCAAAATTGGTGGTAAGAGAAGGCAAGATTTACCATAAAGTACAGAGCGGGTTTAAAACTTAAACTCAAGTGTTAGACTGTGTTCTTAATTTAATACAGTTGACTTATTTACAGTTTCAAAGACACTAACATAAACTACATCACTAATCATCAGGCATAAGTGTCTGAAGAAGCAGATCACGTCTTCATACCTCCTAAAGGACATTTTAACCACTTTGTCGTTGGCCAGTAGACTGCACTGATGGAGTGCTGGAGAACAGCATCGCCCTTCTGCATTATTTGGAAGTAAGAGCCAGTATTAACTCCTTCCTGGTTCATCTAGCACCTTAACCTGAGCTGGGTGTGCTTCAGCATGTTGACCATGTGACTGACCCTTAGCACATACAATTTTTTAGATTCCCAATGTGTAGAGACCAATGTCTTACCTATATTCTTGGAAATGGTGGTAGCAAAATTAATTGGGATATATAGTGATTGAGCTAATGTTAGAAATCACTCTAGACTATTCCCTGAATGCTCTAAAGGTAAAACAAGTGACCAAACAGAAACCAAGATTGATAAAATACTGGAGGAACATCAATGGGAAGTGTAAAAGGAAGAAGAGTGGGAGCATGAACCTCTCTAAGAGCCTTTGTCTGTGCAGCTAGAGAGAGAGAAGTCAGAAAACAGCACCTGAAATAGAAATGTTCTATCTTAGCTCTAACTTAGGTAGAAACAGGATTTTATAATATGAGGGGATGTCTGGTTCACACCTTATGGGAATTGAATCTTTTTGAACATAAAAGTCATTATAGGGTACATAAAAAGAAAATACAACTTTACAAAGGTTTTTGAACAAAAAGAATTTTTACAGAGCCATGGGGCAGTAATCATATGACCTGAAAAATAGCCTTAGATCCCTCATAAAATAGTGCTTTGAGAATATGAGGCTAGATTTTTTTTCTAATAAAAGACCCCAAAATTATTAGTGAAGTTGTCTAAGTGGACTATAAAAACGTCCCACAAGCAAGCTGGTTAAAGCTTAGTGCTAATCTCAGAGGTGGCAGAGAGGGAGTCTCATGATGCCTAAGATAATTTCTGGCCATCAGCAAACAGATTAGTGGTGTTCACCATTACAGTTACGTTACAATTTGAAATGAAAGACGTTTAACCTTTTTTTAACAGAATACTCTAAAACAGGGATAACACATCATTTGTCTGATACAACTTCATAATATTTATAGATACTTTTGACCCTATACATATTATCCCTATTGAATTCTTTCTGCCAGATCACTAGACTTAAAAAAATTTTTTTTTGGAAATAAATCTGGTTTCTTTGATTTGGGAGGAGCTAGAAAGTAAATGACCCCTACCTGTGAGAGGCTCCATGGGGGCTGCTGAGCTTGCGGCAGGCCAAACTTACTCTGGGGTGCACCCATTTGTCCCACCATTCCTCCTTGGGGGCCAACAACGTTTTGAGGAAGTGGCATCACACCAGTTTGTGCATTTCCCATAAACCCATTGGGCATGGGCATGCCCACCATCATGCTTGGACTCTGTCCCATCACATTTCCTATAAGGCCAGGAGCTGCAGGCACAGGCACACCCATCGATGGAAAGCCCTGAAACGCAGCTGGTGCTTGGGAGGTAAATGGTATATTTGTGGGTCCCATAAATACACCTGCACCACAAAAAGAAAATGAATGAAGACAGCGCTATCACGTGCAGTTGCACTCACCTCTATAATCACAGAAAAACTGCCTTTCTGAACAGCAAATATTTAATTCCAGTTTGGCTGCTCCGACTACTCAGACCAGCCCACACCTAAACCCTGAGAGCTGGTTATTTCTAGAATGCAGACAAATCAGTTATTAACCTGAGTAATTTTAATTAAGAAATGTAAATCATATGCAACAGCCACACAAAATATCTTCCACCATGAAGACCAAACTATGTAGCATGAGATCATACACTTTTTTTTGCTGACTTGTACCACTGGTCTCCCAGTACCAAACAGGCAAGTGAGAGCTGACTATATCTCACTTCAATAGATGTAGTGGGCTGCCAAATAATTTTAGCTCATATGTGAAATGCAGCTCATTATTTAAAGGAAATGGTCTGAAAGATTAAAAGTCTGTAAACAATAAGCCTTATGCTAATATTTTGTTATGATTACAAAAAAATTCAGTTTTTTTTAGTCCATGTGGTAACTCAAGACTGTTTACCTGCAGAGAAAATATACTGTATACAAAGTCGTAAACTTCATACATATCAAGTTTCAATAATTCATCAAAGGTAATCCGTGTTCTATAAGCTTGTGAAACAATATTTAGTGATCTATGAACAGCTTGTTAATTCCAAATAAAGTTCTGTGAATCCTGTACATGCCTCTTAATTTTTAATTCTAATGCTCGTTCATTTCAGTTTCATAGTTGTATAAACTGCAACAACAAAAGCACTCACTACATGGAACAATAAAGAAAATATATAATTGATCTTATTATAATTACAAAGGATATGCTTCTAGTAATGTCACTGAAAGCAGATATCGAAATTCATTACCAGGAGTACTTTGCTGTTGAATGGTTCCTGTGCCATACAGAGATAAGATGGAGTCTTTGGAAAGCTGTTTCTTTGCCACTTCTTCTGATTTTGTAGTTTGCTCAGTGAATAAATCTAGATCCCCAGATGTTACTGTAGACAGGGTTGCAGCTGCTGGTGCAGAGGATGTCCCCTGAGACAAACACCAAACTAAGCTATCAAATTCTGCACAGTAAAGCACAGCTTATCCATTACTTAAAATCCAAATAAAGTTATAAAATTAGACAGGAATCAAACAATTGTAGAAGGTAAAACGGTGCCATTCAAGAGGATCACTCACAAGCCCATACAAAAACATCTACAGCCATGGCAGTACTTCTTAATTTGAATGTTAATGTAGGTAGACTGAAGCCTTTTCACAGTAAGTTGCATTTACTACCTAAGGTGATGCCAAGTTTTTGCTCATCAAATCCTGAACACAATGGGCTCAACAGTGGTTACAGAGGAGGCAGCTGTCTGAGGACCACCACTCCATAGCAACTACTGCTCCAAGAAACTGGTATCCTTTGGAATAAACATTTCTACAACAGACCATAAGAGGATTTGCAATGGCTGCTTAAAAGGTTTTATCTTTTCAAAACCTGCATAATAAGATTTTTATACATCTAATCAGTTTTAACTACAACATTAGGCTACTTCTAATCTATCCAGAAATGAAGGTACAGCAAAACTTTGACCATCTACAGTCTCAACATATCCTGCACTTCCCTTTTGGACAAGGCGGCAAATAAACACAAATACAAATAAACATGTAGATATTTAATATAAAACAAACTTTCACTTAATCTCATATCTTGCGAACAGTATTATGCAATCACAACAGCAAACCTTAATCATCTCTGTAGTCATTAAATATTAAATCACATTCACATTTGTTATATGGACTTGTTTTGAATATGAAGAGTTTCAAAGAATTCTATGAAGACTAGTAAAAACTGGCTGATTCTTCTCAAACTAGAGAATAAGGTGAGTAGCAAGTGGAAAATAAATTCAAACATTTAATGTCCTCCTAGAACACCATGCGATAGGTACCATCCAAACACTATACTTGTAAACTACACAGAACAGTATTTTGAATCTTATGACTAAGCAAGAATTTTAAGTGACAAAAAGCCACTTAATTTTCAAAAAATTCAAATATGTAAGAAATTAGATATCATAGAATACTAAATATCACAATACCCTTGAATAAAATATATCTAAGCTACCAATGGAAGCAGCAGCAGCAGATCATAGAGCTACGAGCATGGGCTGGAGCCTGTCTGCCAGGACTAGAGCCTGCCCCCACGACTTTCTATGGTACACTCAGACATGTCACTTAACTTCTTTCAATCTCTCTCCTGTAAACTGGGGATAAGCTTGATGATCACAAGAAGTGTTTTGCACAATGGTTGGATTAAGTACTTGGTGTTTATTGTTAATATTTTTTATAAAACAAAGCAACTACATCACTAAGTGATCTTTTTATCACACTATCTGTTGAACCAAAAAAATCTGCTCAAAACGCTGGGGTCTATTCCCTGTGGAAGAGAGAGAACTATAAGAAAACCCAAAATGTTGGGAAGCTATGATTCTACTCTCATAGTAGAGCAGCCTAATATTCACATACTGTAAACATCATAATATGAAACATCTACCTCCAAAAGGACACAGTCTAAAAACAGCCAAACTGATCGGCAGGACTAGTAAGCCCTCAAATGTCCACTTTTTGGTGCTCCATTCGCCAGCACTACAACCCCAAGATAAAAGGAGAACAACTTCTGCCTCTCATTTTACACTTCAGGAAGTGCAGAGCATCTAACCAAAGGCTCTCTGGCCTTCTGGGACCCAAGGGCTTAAGAGAAAACAAGACTCGGCCCTTGTGTATGTATAGGTACTGTTGGTGTATGTACATGTATATGAAATATCAGGAAAGGGGTTTCTCCATGTCAACACTGAAGACTGGAACTGTTCCCCTCCAGCCCCCAAAACACATGTACGCTCCTGTCAACTAAGTATTTCTAACCCCCTTTAAGAAAGACTAGACCCCAGACAGGTAAGGCAGATGGTAAAATCAATCTACTTCATATTCGTAAGTTAGAAAATCTTTTACTAGAATTTGTATATACTCAGAAAATAAAGAGTGAAAGAACACAGGGTTCAGAAGAATTCAAAATCTTGGTGTCCAAAACTAGTTTGAGCTCAATTTCACATACTAAAAACCCACCAAAACGAGTAAATTACATAGTAGCAATATATGCATAAAATCTGTAGTTTCAGTACCATCCCCCATTTTCAAAGGCATTATTTTGAAAATATGTTTGGATTTTTTTTTTCCCCCCAGATGAAGTCTCGCTCTTGTCCCCCAGGCTGGAGTGCAATGGCGCAATCTTGGCTCACTGAAACCTCTGCCTCCCGGGTTCAAGCAACTCTCCTGCCTCAGCCTCCTGAGTAGCTGGGATTACAGGCATCTGCCACCACGCCCAGCTAATTTTTGTATTTTAAGTAGAGACGGGGTTTCATCATGTTGGCCAGGCTGGTCTCCAACTCCTGACCTCGGGTGATTCGCCCGCCTCAGCCTCCCAAAGGGCTGGCATTACAGGCGTGAACCAGCGTGCCCAGCCAAATATGTCTGAATTTTAATCTCTACATGAAGTTTAGATGAAAGATACTACTGTTCACCAAATATTTTACAGGGCTCAACATAACAATGTTCCAAAAGAAGTATTAGATATAATTTTAAAAATTAACCTTATGTCCTACCAGGTACTGCTCAGAATGCCCAAAGTCTGAAGGCCAGCCGCCACCCCTCCTAAAGCCAGAGGCTACACTCCTTGTCATGGCACTGCTTGTGCTTCAGAATTAAATGAAGTCTGCATTGTTCTGCTTGCTGCTTTAATACAGAACAGAACACGTGAAGTACGCTGAAACCTCAGAGGTGGAGTCTAACTCTCTAAGCAGTTGCAAAGCAACTGTCAGACCCCAGTGACAGTGCTAAATAAGTCTAGCAGGTGTAACAGCCGTACTACAATGCTAGACTAAAAATAAATTACTTTTCACATTCTGATTGTCAAATATCCTAAATACTTCTTTCCAAAGACACAATATTAGACAATTCTGTCACATGTACACCTATGTCTGTACAAATTGGTAAGGTAATTAATGTTAATTGAAACAACAGTAACAATACTGTCTCTCTTTCTTATGTGTGTTATAGGAGGTGAAGAAGGGGCAAAGCCATAAAATAAGCTATTTTGCTGAAAATAAACACTACTGCTGCAGACAATTTTGATAAAGATCCATTTAAATTAATTATTCCTAAGAAATCTACTTGTTCCATTCTAATGGTAACTATATAATGACTATCACAATAACAATATGTGCAACAGAAATATGTTACTAGTCTTCTTATAAGACGTTGACTTTTTCTTATTAAAACTGTCTACTGGAACAATTCAGATTTGACTTAGTTTTTCTATGGAAGGAATATTTTATCTCAAAAATTATGCTGCACAAACTGGTTATTTGTAAAGTATAAACTTAAAATAGAATCTTAATGTTGTAAGCTTAAGAGTAATTTGTTTCCTGAAATTTCATATAGTTCACGTTACAGAAATTCCATGTACTGTTAAGAAGGCAATTCAAAATTTCTTCACCATTAACATTTTAAAAATTTCCCAATCATTATTATTACTGTTCTAGATTTTTTAAAAATCACTTAAAAAAAAAAAAAGCAAGGTAGATTTTAAGGCTAAGTTAAAACATAATTTGCCTTCATTTTAAAAAGACAATGAGTACTGAATTTGCTAGAACTTCTGCAGTTAATATTTACAAACACCTACAGTTTTAAAAGCTCTGAAGTAAGTGACCTTGTTGATCTCAGGGAAGTCGATGTAGTCAGGGTTTTTCTACTTGTTCATTCTAAATACTGTTGTTTCCCTAAAGCTAGGGTTAGAACTTTAAAGATAGTCAATATTTTAGGTTTTGTGGGTTATACAGTCTCTGTTGTTAATATTTAACTCTGCTTTTGTAGCAGGAAACCAGCCACACATAGTATGTAAACCAGTGGGAGCGGCTGTGTGCCAATAAAACTTCATTTGCAAAAAGAAGCTGCTGGCTTAGTTTGCAAACCCCTGGACTAAAGAACAGGGGACTTTTAAATCAGTTACTGCTCAGAAACAATTCTTCCAAAATTGAAATTTTGAAACTTTTCAAAAAGGAAATAAGCAGCGACCATATAAAACCATATTCTTATCACATACCTGAGCTGGAGGCATGCCAGTTGCAGGTAAGGGATTAGAAATCATTGGTCCGAAGATGTCCAGATCATCATTCAGGGGTGGCACCGTTGTGTTCCCATTGGTCACTGGTGCCACAGCAGGGCCATCTGAAAAGAATATAGATTCTTGTCTTAAAGTAGAATATCTTAAATTACTTGAAACATGGCATTATTTTAAAAATTGATATATGGTTTAAAAAAACAAAAAAAAGTTCAAAAGGTGGTAAAACATTTGTTCTCCTTCTACCCACCCCAGTATCCTCTTTCCCAAAGAAACCATTTCCAGTTTTGTTGATTCCCCCAGAAATATTCTTTATCCATTGGTTTCTAGGTATATATCCAAACCTCCTTTTTAACCAATGGTATCATACTATTCACATTATTTTGCACCCTAATTTTTTAAATAAGATCATAGGTTTTTATGGTGTTTCCTATATGCCAGGCACTGTTCTGGGTACTTTACATGTATCAACTCATTTAATCTTCATACACTTATGAGGTAAAAACTACTTTTGAGATAAGGGGCTAAGGTGGAATTTGATACCACACTCTTATAAATAATCCTTCTCCATAAATGTATGTGTGAGGGTGTGTGTGTTTGGAGATAATTTAATTTTTACCTACCATGGAAATAAGTTTTGATGATTTATACCATGGAAATAAGTTTTTTACCTACCATGGAAATAACATTGATGAAATGTTACGTTTTGAAGTCACAACATGGAAGAAAACTAGATAGAAAAAAGGAAACATACATACAATATTTAAACTGATTCTACAGGAAGTATCCATAGAACTCCAAAATAAATCCTTTCTTTATTCCAGCACAGCCACTTTTAGTGATGGCTGTACCAAGCCACTGCACTGTACAGGCAAAGGGACTCTGACAGAGCTTCCTACTTTAAAATTCAAATTAAAAAACAGTTTTAAAAACTGTAATTTCAAAAATTCAAAACTGGCTTCTTTTATATCCCCTTTTTATGTTGGTGAACATTTATAAGGGCTGGGGGCAGGAGCTGAAGTGGAGTGCTGTGGGTCGAGTTTGCATGCACAGCACTCCGGGACTGGAACATCTCACAGAGTTCAGTTTTCTGTAACCACAACCAAGTAACAGTTCAGAGCATCACAACTCCAGCCTCTTGAGAGTTATAGCCTAATAAATCTTCTAGCTTAACAATTTACAGTCTCATTTGATCTCTCTTTAATAGACCATACTCTCATCAAAGGGAAATCTATCATCTTTAAAAACCTTTTCAACAATGAATGGGATATCTTGCACAAAGTAGATACTCAAATATTAACAAATTCAGTGGAGGATCTACCATCTCATTCATATTTCCACCACAATCTACAGAAACTTAGAGAGTTCTTGTCTTTTTCCAAGTATAACTACAGAAATTAGTATCTTTTATTTCTCTGTTTAAGCTTCAGTGAATTACAAAGAATTATTAATACATAATCAAAATAAAATATTTTTTACTATTTATTTTATAAAAGAGTGTGTAAAGTCCAAATTAGGTTAATTTGGAAGTTATTCAACTGCAAATTTTTCAAGTCATTTTCAGTGATATCACATTATCACAACCATTAAAAGAAATGTATTGATATGTATTATACATGTTACATCTATATCAAGTACTATGGACAATTAAAAGGTGAAGCAATAAAACAATGTATGTAGATTATTATAATTTGTAATATATAGAATTTTAAACTGAGACAACTATCAAAGAATTAAGACTCATACATGAAAATAGTTTTTTTCATTTCTAACCCTTTCAAATGGCAATATTCATTTTAAAGTTAGACCTCCTTAAAGAGATAATTTGTTTTCTAGTTCATTCCATACCCCATTTACATGATGTATAGTACATTATATAAATATCAGCTAGAAATAAAGTGATATTTTAAAGGGACAAGGCATTCTAGGTTTAAAAACACAACTAAGGAATACCTTTTTTGTTTGTATCTACACTTCAGTAAAGAAAGTCCAATAATAATGACATATAAGCCAGTGGTGCTTTAACTTGTGAGCTACAGAGCTGGAGATGGGCAAACATCATCATCAACTAGACATGTTTCATTCTGTCACATGAATTGAGGAAGCACTTTATTAGCTGCAAATATAACTATTATATATAAAATGTATATATATTTATATATGTAAAAATTTTATATGTTTATAAAATTTAAACTCAAATAGAAGCATGTGTCCTGTGAAACAATGTAAACCACAACCAAAATAAAAGGAAAAAAAATGGTGACAAGCTGAATATAAGCAACTATTTCCAGTTTTTCCGTTACACTTTTTTTTACTTTATTAAGTAGTAGTAAACAAAATCAGACAAATTCATGGCAAAAAAAATTTAACACGAGAAAATCCCATTGATTTTTTGGCAAACTAAGAAAATACTATCAATTGCCTTTTACCACAGCACATGTTCACAGAACACCAGTGTGCCCAGGATGCACTTAGTGAGAATCACAAAGTTCATCCACTACAAGCCAATGCTATGTCTTATTACTTTTGTAAACTGTACAGCTTTCAGAAATTTTAAGTCTGTTCTACTTAGTACCTTAGACTCCACTCAGAATATTTACTTACACTTTCAAATCTAAACAACATTTGATATCTAGCAATATATTTTCTAACCCGCAAAACACCACACAGCACATTTGGTTTCTGAAGTCTTATTTTACCTTTCACCCCCTTTAGTATCACATATGTGACTAATAACTTGTCCAGCATCACAGAGCAGGAGCAAAGTCTTAGACTGTAATCTTATTCAATGTTTACTGTAAAAGCAACACATTCTTGTAAAAGATTCAAACCATGCAAAAATGAAGAAACTAAAAGTACCCACCATAGATGGTGGTGACAGTTGTGCAACGTGAATGTACTTAATGCCACTGATTATATATTGTAAAATATTTAAAATGGTAAATTTTATGTGTTGTGTTACCACAATTTTAAAAACAATGTACATAGGATCATACAAAAATAGTCTTCTTTATATAAATTATGTATGTGTAGGTAGGGGGTTTGCATTCTGTGATACTGCATGTGCCTATTAATAATTTATTTATTCAATGTGTGACTCAAGAGAATTTAGGTAGTTTCCAGATTTTCACCATTAAAAACAGAATGGTGGACATCCACATTCCTCTATATAAAGTCTACACAGCTCATGTCCCTTCACTGCAATGTAACTTGAATTCTGTTTTTACCACTGCACTATGAACAAATCCATATTCTCTTTCCATGTGTTTTATTATTGTTATTACTATATTAAAACTAGCCTCTTGAAATTTCTGGCATTTCATACAAACAACGAAGTTGTGATCTCTCTGTAACCAGTCACCATGGTTATTAGAGCTGTCATGAAGTCAATTCACAAGGTCAGTCTGAGGGACGTGGAATCCTTTTTAGAATGAGATAGAGGAAGCACCTGCTTAGGGACAGCAATCTTTGTGGCAAGGCTGACACTGTTTTCAATTGGTTAAGGAAGACTTTCTCATACCCCCCAAAAACCTGAGGTAAGGAACTTTCTGCCAGGCCTCACCAAGATTTTTCTCTACATAGCATCCTTGTGATGAGCATAGGTGATTGCTCTTTGCTCTCTGCTCTCACCATCTGCAACATACCTGCCCCTCTTTTGTCTCTACTCCATCTTCTCCCCATGTGATGGGTTATCCATCTTAATGGTGGGTTCTGGATTTCACAGCCATCAATTTTTCTAGTTACTATCAAAGTTATGCGCTCACAGAATTGTTGAAAAACAAATTCTTAACCGAAACGAAAACTTCTCAGCCTTGCGGAACTGGTAAATACAAGTTCCCAATGAGTTTTCAATGGTTGCCAATTTTACTTACAACATTTGGCTTGCTTAACACATTATTTAAAAGGGATTGCTTCAATTCATTTAGAAGGTCATTGCGTTTTAAATTTTCAGTGTTCAAAAAGGACAATTAAAGACTCATTATCATTACCATCATTATAAATATCACATTCATCCTGGATGTTTTTAAAGAATGTTTACATGTTATCATTTTTGTCCCCATGCAAGATGAGAAGGGCCTCTCCTTCCATTATCTCCGGTTATACCAACTAGGACACAGAGCAATGAAAACACTTCCTCAATGTCATTCACCTTTTTAAGCAGCAAAATTTGTACTAGAACAGAGTCTTCTCACACCTAGGCTAGTGCTCTTTTCTTTAAACCACATTTCATCAAAAGCCATGTAATTTCAACTTCACCTAATTATAAACAAATCACTTTAAAGTTCTGAAAAATTTAAAAAAACTTTAAAATAGTTTATAATTATTTGTACTAAGTTTGAGAAGCAGTTAAACAGTCCAAAAATCATTCAGTGCCACACTCAACATTTGCCTCATCCTGTCCCCACTCCACTGTCCTGTACTGACACCAGTATCTTTTCAATTTATAGGGAGGGATTCAGGTGGATATGGTCTTCAGTGAGCAAACTGGGCTGCCGGAAGCAACTGTGGGATATAATCAGGCCTTTGTCAACTAAGAGTATTCACAAATTATTGGGAGTTAAATGCATCCTTTTGATCATGGGCCCACTAATAACATGGTCTTTACTGATTAATAAAAGCTCAGAGGCCACAACATCAAGAAAATACCAAGATGTTGACAACAGTTTTTCAGATAATTAACTGTAACATTTAGAAAGTATAAGGCTTATTCAAATTAAATAGTGTAAATCACCATAATGTAAGAAAAACATTTAAATCAGCATGGGTTATACCTTGTTGGTGCATGCACACAAATATACAGTCACACACACACACACACACACACACACACACACACACACACACGGAAACTTCCTCTTTCAGGTGAGAGAGAACATCAGACCACGCAGTGCCTTCTATGAGATGAGGGGATGTCTGTGAAAACTAATCAGAATTCACCGTAGACATGCACCTTGCTCAGCTACAGAATGATGGTGGGAGCAGCAGGAGGCAGCAGTCCCCCTTTAATTAGTATGCAGAAACAGTAGCTGGTGGACAATAAAAATAATGGGAGATCCAGAGTACAAGAAAAGCCTAGGGCAAATGGAGGAAATTCAGCTGGGAACAA